AGCGCTACAGGGAGGGAGCTGGGCGCTCTTGGCAGAAACAGCCGCCCCTGCCACCACGAGTCACACCTAACTGTCCCTATGGGTATGTCAGTCACCGAAGATCCAGAGTCCTGGGTGGGACTACTGGATGAACTAAGCCCTGGTCCCATGACCAAGGCCTGGCTCCAATGAGAAGAGCAGAAGAACTGGCATGTTGTTACTATAATCGGAGCGAGTACCCTGTGCTCCCTGGAGACCGATGGTGGGTTATGCCAAACAGAGGGAAACGTCTGGAAGACAGACAGCCATAAAAGAAACACTGACTTTCTGCTTCACCTTTGAACTGTCAGTCATAGCAACAAGGGACTGAAGGCCGCCTTATAAAAAGTTGTTCAAAAATTAGGTTTCACCAGGCAGTGGCCAGTTCAGTGGACCTCGTACCTTGGAAAGCCAAATTCACATTCCCTCAGCCCTAAATAAACTCTGCCTTTTAAGTAATTGGCCTTAAAATTTTGTCTTTAGTAGCACAATAGCTTGAATCAATTCAGAGATCACATAGACAAATAGCAAGATTGTATACAGGGTTTAAATAATTAGCAGTATGGTAAGACAAACCGGTCACTTACAGCTTTGACATACACACTAACCAGTCAGGCTATCTTCTACCACCAAAGCCACGCTAAGGATCACTTCAGTAACTTTCCACCTGTAATCTCCTGTGGCTGTATGAACTGGGTGGTTTGAAACAACAGAAATGTATTCCCACACAGTTCTGGCGGCCTGAGGTCGGCATCAAGGCGTCCGCAGGGCTGAATCCCTCGGGGGGTTTAGGGAAGAACACGCTCCAGACCTTCTTGGCCCGAGGTGCCGCTCTCCAGTCCCTGCCTGCGTGGTCTCCTTGCAGCCTCCAAGTGTATGTCCTCGCCTGCGTCCCCGGCTTCTCCCTGTCCTCTCTTTTAAGGGTGCTTGTAATGGCATTGAGGGTCCACCCTTAGAATGTCCTCATCCCAGGACCCTTAATGTAGTCACACCTGTCATTTCAGGAGAGGGGAGGGGAAGGGAGGAGATGAACGGGGAGGGGACGAGAGCAGGGGAAAAGAGTGAGGAACTACAGAAATACTAGAAGAAACATGAATAAACTCCTCCATAATCTGTAAATGATTTTTGAAATAGGAATCAAAATAAAATATTTTATTAACATTGTATTAATATTAAAATATATTAATAAAATATTGGTGAATTTAGCCACAAAAATTAAAACTGTTCATATGTAAAAAAAAATCAGAGGTAAATAAGCTGAGATGAAAATGTTTGCAACTTATATCACAAAAGACAATTAACAATACTTCATTAAGAGTTCATGAAAAGAACATATACCAGAAAATAGAAGAAAAATGGGCAAAGCCATGTACATTCAGAGAATGAGAGGAAATGGTTTATAAATATCCAAAAGGCCTTCAACCTCACAAAATTAAAGAAGAGGAAGAAATATTTTCAGAGAACAGCCTTGCCAGCTGTACAACGTCACGTCTCACACATACTGTGAGTCGGTCACAGGGCCGGCCCAGATTCAAGGAAAGAGGAAATAGACTCTACTTGGTTATCGAAAACTGGCCATGCAGCACTGCAAAATAAAGCATGTGGGATGGGAACTACTGTTACAGCCATCCTTGGAAATACAATCTACCCACCGTAAAATGCGAATTGAAACAATAAATATTTCTCACCCAATAAATTCGCAAACATCTAAAAGGGTACAACGCACTGGAAGGAAACAGGTGCTCTCAGATACTGCCGAGTGGGAGCGTGGTACAGGGCCCACGAAGGGGAGTCTGGCAATGTTATCCTTTCACGCAGCGATTATACTCCTATTCCTACCTCCATGAACAGGATGTATATACATGCTCGGTTTATCACCCTCACTTTTATGGCACCCACCACCAGCACAGGCAGGGGGCAGGTATGAGTTTAAGTGAATTAAAGGAATCATCAACTGATACGCCAGCAGCATCGTGGCTGGTCTTACAATCCATCTTATACTCTGAGGATCTCAAGAGCGTATCACAGAGTAAATCTGACAGAGGGTCTGGTTTTGCAACAACTTGATCCTCTGCACATTTACGCAGAGATGAGCTTCAGCTTCCAAGTCACTCACAAATTATTATTTAATGAAATCATTTGCCTGGATATCTCTTGTGCCTTCCTGTTAACCTCCTGAATCCTTCACATTTGGTGTTGCACCTCACACTCCAAAGTCAATTACAGACTCACCAGGACTATTACACATACCCTATGTACATCTGAGCAGCTTGTCTGTAACTATCTCTCATAAGTCAGCTGTCTCCAGGCTAAGGAAAATCTCTTTATCATTACTTATTTGAGTTGCAGGTAGTAGCTCAGGAAATCATATTAGACTTCAATCAATGTTAATTTCAGAGAGCTAAAAAATGACCACTAGATGATTTAAAAACAAGAGGCAAAGAAATTCACCAATCATACAGTTGTTCTTGGAGATATGACCTCAAAGACAAGCACAGGATGCGTTACAGCGTTTTAAAGATCATTTCTTAAGATTTACATGAAATCAACTGCCTACAGAATGAAATTCTTAACTTGATGTATATAGAACAGTAACTGGAAACATAGGACTTCTTACACATGTGTGAAACACTACTATCTCTAAGAAACATTACTGTATCTTGACATGTACAATGCACACCTTTTTGCAACAGGTTTTGAGGGTAAAATAAGGGTGTGCATTATCATGGGTAGTACTAATTCTATATCCATATTAATGTTTTTCTTTTATCCATGCTTTTGCGTTAAAAGTGTAGCTCTAGAAAGTAGTAACGATATCCGTATGCAAAATAATACCCTGGAATATGATAATTGGTTTTGTTTCCAAATACAAATAAAATTGAATTAAAAAATTTAAGTTTTTTTCCCTGAAATTTTGGGTCAAAAATGTGGGTGTGCAATATACACAGAAGCACATCATACACAGCAAAATACAGTATTTTCTTTCAAATAATCTTAAGCAGTAAGCTGATAAGCCTTGAAAAACTGATAGGTGTCTCAAAATGTCAAAGATAAATGTGAAAATAATAGACCTCATGGGTGGAAAAACGTTAATAGTGCTTCACATAATTAAAATATGCATGTTTATTTCATCTCAAAACTATGATCTACACGTTCAAATGTAAATGAAGTTGTATTTTTATAATTGCCCTATAGTGCATTTTAGGCAACATCCATCACCACCTCTACCCAAATAAAAGAAATCAGGATTTCTCAGGCTAAGCACTACTGACATTTGAGGCCTGATAATTCTGTTTTGAAGTCTGTCTTAGCCTTTCAGAGGAGATACCAGCTTTCCTGTCTGTCTCCCCACCCCACATTGTGAAACAAAAACATCTACATTGCCAAACGTCCACTAGGGGGCAGAATAGCTCCACTTGAGAACCACCACGACAAATGCTTTGTCAAACTTCTCCAGTTAAGTAACTTCCACATTTTTATGTCCCATTTTCTTTCCAGTTATCTAAAATCTAGTTAAAATACAGGTTCCCCTCTGGAGAAAACAGTTGTTTACTATTACCACTGCCCATCTACTCCATTAAAGTTTATAAAAATAAGACATTTCAGGCAGTTGTTATGTACTGCTGTTACTGAGAAAAAACATTGCAAAATATGCATTTATCAAATCCATAGAAGATATAGCAGTTAAAGTCAATCTTCATCAGAACAGAAATATGAGATGCACACTAACTGTGCTAGCACTTGCCTACACTCTGATTCTTTTCATTTTGCTCAAGCCTTCCTTCTCCAAACAGATCTTTACTTATCTGCATAAAAGTAAGTTAGAATTACTAGTGCTAATGAAGGAGAATATAATTATGGTCAACAGCACATAGTTCGATCTGAAAATACAACTAATTTTTACTTTTTGCCATCATCTGGATAGGAACCCAGATGTTGAAATTATCATCATTGAATCTCTAGAAGGTAGAAGGTAGAAAGGCAATACATACAGAATTAGCTGCAGCCTCTGGACCAAGGTTAAATATTCATTCATTCAGGATAACTGAATGTAAACTATAATTTTTTCCAAACATTTTATCACATGGTAATATAATTTAATTGTTTATATCCAAACACAATAACAAAACACAAAACAGAATGCAAAACTCTCATTTCATAATTTAAAAAGAATCTCTTTATTAAACCTGTTACAGTAGAATCGATTTTTTTTAAATATAAGTACAAAAGAATTCTAGGATTGTCACCAAAAATGTAATTGATGAGCAAAGGTATTGTAAGTTACTTATCTTCAGGTTCCCAAATTCTTTAACTTTTTTTCCCTGCAATAAATTAGGGTTTTTAAACCTTAAACAAATTGTTTTTGCACTCCCCTTTCCACCGATTTTATCAGCTAGGATTCTTGGACAACTGTGGATATTAATGTGTTGCCTGGGATTATCCCAAACTACCCTAAACTTTTCCTACACTAATTTTTGTTACAGGCATTTCCTATTAACCAAAGTTAAAATGTGATCTTTGAAACATTTGATTTCAGATTAAAATTATGCATAAGAACCATTTTATAATTAGATAGTCGAGTCAGAAAATGAAACTCTATGCAATGCATGAGAGATGACAGTGCTTATTATCCTTTTATTTTCTGGTTCGACCACAGCTGTCAAGATTCTTTTTAAAGGATGCACATATACATTTTAAATGTGGCAGTGCGCATTCAGTACAAATCAATTCCGACTTTAATTACTATGGAATTTTGACAATTCTAGCAATGACGAATGAATGATGAATTTTATATGCTGTTATGTAGCAAAAATCAAGTAACATTGTAATATTCCAAATGTTTAACCTGGGAGAAATGAGAATATATTTCAATCGAGAACATATCATCTAAAAAAATAGTATTGCTATCCAGTCCTAGGAGTTTCTAACCACATTTCTGCAAGTCCTAAATGTTTAGAATAAATGTAGCATTCAGATAATACTATAGTCCATGAAAAGAGTATATTCTTTTATTGTTTTTGTTCATACATGTTAAATTTCAAATTTCAATCATAAAATTCAATAAATTTGATTCCTTAATCATAAAAACTTGCTTTACACATTATTTACATGTCACCAAAGCCTACAGCCATACAAACATCACAGGGACTTGACTCTACACGGTGCCGTCCGTCACACAACGGGAGGGAGCTGTCAAGTAACGTACATTCAAAGAGTAACTGTAGATATGCACAGTGTGTTTGGCACTGACCGACAAGTCTCTCTTTTAACAGGCATTATTAAGTCTTAGTAACAATGTACCACAACTGGCTACTCACATCCAAACCAGCTTTCAAACTCTTTAACAGTGATCCCTTTTAAGAAACCAAACCAAACCAAACCAAACCAGAATTGGGACTGGAATTCAAACCCTCTGACTTCTTGCTATGCTCCAAGCTGCCGCTCACAGTATAGGTTTAATTTGATAACTTTTCCATTGCGGGGGAATGTCAAGTAGGAACAATTTAAAGATAATATCCCCCAAAAGACATAAAAACAAAACACACTTAAAAATTTCATTTCTTCTTGGGAGCACTAAGGAAGCCCTGATAATGCATAAGTAGTGATAATTTTGGCAGGAATTACAGAATGACCCATGCCATTCAAGTTGTGGAGATCGTACTAGTAACTGAACTCGTAAGAAGTGTCTGGAATGCCTCTATCTGAATTCAGAATCTTTACTGACTTACTTTAAGGGACTCTCCCCAGGACTATAACAGACTCAGGTCACAGGTTATAGATTTACTCAGACGTGTAACACTACCCTGCTATAAAATGGATGAAAATAAAGTACAAAGACAACTACTAAACCTTCAGCAACTTTGGCTATATTCCAGTGGGCAATTTATTTTACTAATTTCATTTTACAAATATTAAATCACTTCAGTTGGGCCCAAAATGTAATTCATTAAAGCTATACATATTCCAGAATGTTTAAAAAAGACACGTATTTATAAAAGGCATAAATTCAGTCTTAAACTAAGGCCCTCCAAGAAAAGCCTCAACAGGATATGGATCACAGTACAGGGAACAGAAATAAAAAATCTCTGGTAAAGCTTAGAGACGTGCTGTAGCTTCACACAAAACTTTAGGCAATCAGCTGACTTAAAAAAAAAAGTCTTACAATGTACGAAGAATTCTGAAGTGCAAAGTAATGTCACTAAATCAAAATTTAATCGTTTTATTTCAAGTATATTTTTAAAATCATAAATGGGGTTTTGTAATCTAAAATTGAAACATTTATTCTTCATATCTTCAGAATCTGACAAGCAATTCCAGACCTCGCTTTACAAATCCAGTTATCCCTTCTATTTTTCAGACTTCTGAGACCTAGTATTTAAACTTCCCCATTCCAAACGTACAATTTTAGGTAATTATTATACACGTGTTGATAAGATTTTTCTGAAACAGTCCAAATATAAAGAATGGTTTCTGTCCAAGGATCATCAGTGAGGAAAGAAATATGAAACATCTATCAAAAATTATTCATCTAAAAAATAACAGAACCAGTGCTGTTCTCTGCTGTCATGAAAGAGAACGTGTAAAATTAATTTACTTTTGTAGCCTTTGGTGATGTTCTACTACCCACACAGGCTTCAGCCTTACTTAGCGATCTGTTACGCCCATCACTCCTACTCGGGATTTACTGAGTGCAAGTCCCGGGTGCTGCCGTGGTCCTACATGTACCAGAGGACAGGTACCTCTCAGGAAACGAGCTGCCTTGTAACTTCCCTCAAATATTTATTTTAAATAAACAGAGTTAATGGCAGCATTTTTAAACCAACTTTGGATACTATGTAGCACACTGCCCATCAAACAAAAAAAAGAAAATCCAAACCTTCTTTCTTTTTTTAGGAAACTTTCTACCTTTACTTTTAAGGTTACAACTTCTTCACCTTTTTTGGACTGCGTCATATTTATTTTTTAAAATTCTGCATTTCAGTGCTGTAAGAGTTCTTTTCCAGATGATTCTCATGCCCCAGAACAAAGACAGCAGATCAATATGCCCAAGACACACTGTCTGACAACGATGAGATGAAAATGGACGGATATCTGAAAACAGGTGTTCCCTCCGCTCCAAAGGTGAGCAAGTGTTTAACATGTGAACGATGCAGAACTCCATTCCTCCAGACATCCCTCAAACTTAGAAAGCTTCCATTTAATAAGTCAAATATTATTCTTAAAAATTAAAGTTTGGTCACCAGGAAGGAGTAAAAAAAAAAAAGATTCCCCTCCCCCCCAAATAATCATCAAACAGCTCTAAACACCCACTCCTCTCCCTGAAAAAGCAGGGAAGTAGGTGGGGCTGAAGCCTTTTTAAAGCTGAAAATTCAGCTCCTACAACATCACTGCTATTTGCTTACAGGTGCAAGTCCACGCACTCCCTTCTCCACCACTTCCCATTTGTAAGTTTATTTCCACACACACACACACACACACGCACGCACGCGCACATACACTCACACATACTTACTCTCAAGTAAGACACTTTTTTGTGTTTGTTGATAAATTATGAGGATTATGAACTAGATGTGTACAGGGTTTCGTAGGTGCTTTGTAAACATCAGTCACTTGGGTCCTTTTCTCCAAAGCCCGAAGTCGTATTATGCAACCAGGGATCACTACTTTCCCAGACGCTGTTCACACGCTGCATACTGACAAAGTGCTGAGAAAAAGTCCTCATATCTGATGTTTTGGTGGGAAGGCAAAGAACTGAAAAGAAAGCACAAGGGGGAGAAAGCAATCAGATGACATACTATGATTTGGAGAGGAAACCAGAAGGGTAATGACCAAAAAGGGGCTAAGGGGAGAAGAAAGTAATGCACAGGCACAGAGAACGTGAACCATTTCTACTAAATGACTGTTACACTCACGGTGAAACAGTTCAAGTTAAAAGCAATCTCTCTACCAGAAGAGAAAAGTGACTTGCAGTGAGACAGAGATTCAGAACCTCTTAAAGCATAAGCTTGGATTAATAAAACTGGAGATACATTAATAAAGAACTTCACTCAAATTCACTTCAAAAACTCATCTCTGTCCAGAGACACATCGCAGCCCTGCCTGCGGACAAGCTGAAGCCGTGTGGTGAGGAACCAGAACATGAACAGTGTTTCTCTCCACCACGTCCAATTGTTCAAGGGGACAGTGACAGTGTGAAGAGGACTTTAAAGGCAAAGTGAACATGCAGCCAGGGGTCCAGGATTATAATGCTTTGGGCATGCCCACTAAACCTTAGTACAGCGTGGGGCTCAAGCAACTCCTGCTGAACTGACCAGCGTCAGTACTTTTCATTACTTACATAATCTCAGTCAATCTGATGTGCCAGGGAAGAAAGCCTAATGTGCTCTCCACGGGCCCAAACTTCAATACTACATCGGGATCAGGAAACCCACTTGAACCTTGGAAAGAAATAAACACAAACTTAACACACACTGCTTACACACAAAATGACCTGCAGCAAAACCTGTTTATCAAATCGGCTTCTCACGCTGTGAGTATCGGTTCTCTTCAGATGCCTTACTGGTATGTTTCCATCCCCTCGTCCCACTGCCCAACATATACTTTCATATTGATGTTATTTCCAAATGTGGGTTCTCTACAGTTCATTTAACTGGACTGACCACCTGATAAAGAAGGATAACCCAACTACCATCCTAAACCCTACAGGTAGCACGCATCCATCCTCCCCCTAAACTCCATCACTTTGAAGACTCACCTTGTAAGACTCAATTTAAATGTTCTCAGGGCATCCCAGGGACCACAATGCTTTAAGGGTACAGATGCTTATTCTGGTCAGAGGCAAACAATTTCAGAAGAAAGGAAACTTTAAAAGTATCTACTCTCCTTCCTTCCCCCATGCCCCTCACTTTTATAGCTAAGGACCCAGAAAGACTAACCCCCAACAATACAGTGCAAACGTCCTCAATGTTCCCCAGAGCCTAAACCCCTGGAAGAGGAAAAAGAGACAAAGCCGTGGCCGTTTTTTGCTTTCAAGCTATTTCTGGCTGGAAGAAAAAAAAAAAAGGCTGGGGTGGGGGACTTAAAGATATCTGAACTCCTGTAAAATAAATCTTCAAATAAGTCACTAGTATAAAAGAGGCTATAAACCAAGAGAGCCAGGTCCCGACAGTTTCTAATAACCTAAGTTCTGTGACTAACTTTCTTGTCACGCAATCCCTCCAGGGCTACGTTCCTTCAGTTGTTAAATAAAGAGACTACATTGGGCAGGTCCATCCAGTAGTAATAAAGAATTATTTTCATGAGAAAGTCTCTTTAAAAGTCCATGTTGATAGAGTGAATGGATTAAGTAGAACACTATTCCTTTGTCTGCTGAAAAGGAAATCCTCTTATTAAAAATACAGTAATAATAATAACAAGAAGGGATTCCTGTTAATGTGGTATGAAGGATGTGATAAATCCTCTTAAAAAAAAGTATTAAACTAGACAAAACCAATTACTTAGGGGCACTGGATACTAAACAGCAGCAGAATTTTATTCTTTACAAAAACAAAAGAAAATGAAAAATAGCAGCTAGAGCTTCCAGTTGAGAAGAGTAAGCGCCCTGGCTGGGCTTTCCTGCCTGGGATGCTCCCCAACGCTCACATCTCTCCTCCCAGCCAACCCATGGGCGAGAACTGCGGTCCACCAGCACAGGGCTGCCAGCAAAAAGTCAGCAGGCTTGCTGCTCGCAGCCCATAGACAGGGACCCGACCTGGACCTGGATGCTGCATGCAGGGGGTGGGGACAAACTGGTTCCCTTGCTAAAAGTGACAAAAACTCAAGGAAAACCCACAGTGCTGCTCCTCTGAGGATGCAGCCCCAGTGAGGGCAAGCAGTATAATGGCCAGAAATCTAACAGGGAGATCCTGGAAATAAGGGCTCAAATAAGCTCTTGTAGATTCATGGCTGATGGGGAAACTGCACACACTGAGGGAGGAAGATGGGACGGAGAGGGAAGGGTGACTCATGCAGGGTGACAAGAAAGGCCAGTGAAATATAAAAGCCACCTGGGAACTGACTTGAATGCACACGCAGATCCAACATCACACACAGATTTAGAAACCTTACCAACTTAGGGTTCTGAACACAACCAGAGTGCAGATTATTGCTAGACACCTTAAACTATGTGGACACAGAAAGCCAGACAAAAAACATAAAATTAAAAATAGAAAAACAGAGCAAAGATAGCAGTGGTAATTTTTATTTAGACAATACAGTCTTGTACTTAGAAAACCCTAAAACTCAACAAAAAGAACTATAAGGACCATTAAGTAAATTTTAGCAAAGTCGCAAGACACAAAATCAATAATAAAAAACCAATTGTATTTCCATATAGTACCAACAATCTGAACATAAAAAAAGAAAATAATCCCATTAACCACAGTATCAAAATGAATGAAACACATAGAAATAAATTTAACAATAGAAACAGAAACCCTATATCCTAAATTATAAAACATCATGTAAAGATTTTATTTTTTTATTTCTTAGAGATATAGGAAGGGAGAGAGAAACAAAGCGAGAGAAACATCGATGTGAAAGACTAACATCAATTTGCTGCCTCCTGTATACGACTAGGGACGGGACCCACAACCTAGGCCTGTGCCCTGACCGGGAATCGAACCAGCGAACTTTTTGCTTTGAGGGACAAGGCCCAAGCTTTGTGGGACAATGCCCAACCCACTGAACCACGCCAGTCAGGGGCTAAAATTACAAAACATGGTTAAATGAACAATTAGGCCCCAAATAGATCGAGAGATATATTATATCCAAAAGTTAGAAGACTCAATATTGTTGGCTGGTTTCCCCAAACTGAGCTATAGATTCAATTCAGTCCTTATCAAAAGAGGTTTTTTTTTAATTTGGGGAGGAGGGGTGAGGAACTGACAACCTGACCCTAAAACTGTATGAAAATGCAAACGACCAACGACCACGAAAACCTGACAAAGAATATCGAAGGTGAAGGACTTAGAGTGCCTGATTTCACAGCGCACCACGGTAGGTCATGGAAATCAACACAGTGCAGCACTGTAAGAACAGAATACAGACCAATGGGACAGAATGGAAACCCTAGAAATAAACTCGCGCATTTATGATAAATTGATTTTTAATAAAGGAGCTGCAGTAATATGAGGGGAAAAGATTCATCTTTTCAAGAAATGGTGGTGAGAGAGAAACTGGTATCTTGTACCTCATACCATTCACAAAAATTGGGTCAAAATGGATTACAGACTAAAATATAATAGCTAAAGCTATAAAAACTTTAGAAGAAAATACAGGAGAAAATAATTGTGACTCTGAATTAGGAAAAAATTTTTTAGATGTGACCCCAAATGCATGATCCATAGAGAAAAAAAATGACAAACTGGACTTTATAAAAATTAAATTCTTTAATAAAACCATTATGAAAAAGGTAAGCTAAGAATTGAAAGTATTTCCAAATCACATCTTGTCGCTGAAAAGATTTATACCCAGAAGATAGAGACCTCTTAAAACGCAATAAGCCAAATAACCCATTAAAAATAGGCAAAAGATTTAAACAAATGACAAATAGCATGTGAAAAATGCTCAATATCATTAATCATTAGAAAAATATAAATTACAACCACAACATACTATTATACAGCCACTAGAATGGCTAAAACTAAAACAAAAAAAAACAAAAAAAACCCCAAAACTGACAATACTATATCTTGGCAAGTATGTAGGGAATCTCAGTTCCTTTATTTTTTCTTTTGCTGGTGAGATGTAAAATTGTAGAGCTTCTTTGGAAAACAGTTTAGGAGTTTCTTAAGACTTAAATATTCACTTACCACATAATCCAGCAATTTCATTATAAGTTATCTACCCAAGAGAAAGGAAAACATGACCCAGAAACACCTGTAGGTGAATGGTCACAAGAGCAGTATTCAAACAAACCAAATGACATCAACAAAATGTGTACATCCATGAAACAAAGTACTATTCCCCCCAAAAAGTAATGAGTTACTAATACATGCGATATGAACAAACCTCAAAAATATGCTGAGTAAACACAGCAAGACATAAAAGACTACACATTATTCTATTTATATAAAATTTCTAGAAGAAGCTAAACTATTGTCACAAAACAGATCAGCAGTTGCTTCAAGTTGGGGGCAGGAGGTGAGATCAACTGCAGTCACAAGGGAACTTTTGGGAGTGACAAACCCAGAGGGTTTGCTTCTGCCAAGTTAGTAACTTACAGCACACGCACATTTTTGTCTATCATCTGCCCACACAACCCCTGAAGGCAACACCTGGGCTCAATACTGTAGCACTTCTCCAAAGTACATAAGACAGAAATGTATGACTAATAACTAAGGTTAGTGAAGACCCTATGTGAATGAACAAAAACCGTATATCTAAAATGTTATGACTACCGAAGTCATCAATGGACATGAATTTGTTGGAAGTATGGCTTTCTTCAAAAGGACCAAGGTACAACACTATGAACAGGAGGAGCACAAAGTTAAGGCAAAAAGTTCCTACTGTGCAGTGGACAGAATAAACAAGCTAAAGGCTTTTATATACACAGGTGAAGAAAAAGAAATAAAATGTTAAATCTGGTATAACCTGACACATTCAGTGGTATATTTGACATACTGCAAAAAATCAGGACCAGGTGTACTGACCAATGACCCTCTGGTGCCGACCAATCACTGGAGACCACAAAGGGGCGCACCTCGAAAGCTGATGAATGTTAAGATCCTCCCCTGAGACACTCAAGAGGACCCAGTGCAACTCTAAGAAACATGCCTTTGCCTTTCCCCACCTCCCTCCCTCCCCAAGGGTGTGCTCCCACCCCTCTTCTGCCACTTTTGTCCCCCCAGATATACATCTCTCTCCCTCTCATGTCTAAGCTCCAAGGGCCTTCTATTTCCACTGTAACTTTGTAAATAAACTTTCCCTTATACAAGGTCTGTCCAGAAAAAGTCCAGCCATTGTTAATCTAACAGGAACAGTTAGCGCGACACCAATGTGACCTGGCACCAAGGCGAGTGGACTGGAATATGCATGCATGAGCAACAGGACTTCATTGTACTAGTCAGTGAGGGTGGTAGACACCACTGAGTGAGCATATGTACTGTGTGGCTGGAGCATTCAAAATGACTGAGTGAGTAGAGCAATGACTCTGCATCAAATTCTGGTTAAGCCTGAATATTCCTCCACAGAAACTATGGGCATCTGATAATTAGCAGCTTCATCACAAGAATGTGCCAGCTTATGCATCACGTCTCAAGCAGTTTTTTGGCAAAACATCAAATCACCCAGGTAACTCAGCCCCCATAGAGCCCAGATTTAGTGCTCCGTGACTTCTGGCTTTTCCCAAAACTAAAAGCATCTTTGAAAGGGAAGAGATTTCAGACAATGGATGACATTCGGGAAAATACGATGGGGCAACTGATGGTGACTGGGAGAACTGTGTGAGGTCTCAAGGTACCTACTTTGAAGGGGACAGAGAGGTGTCATTGTCCTCTGTACAGTTTCTGGTATCTTCTTCAATAAATGTCTCTCTTTTTCCTATTACACAGCAGGATACCTTCTGGACAGACCTCGTAGTTTGAGTTCCTTGGCTCTGAGTTCTTTTCAAGCAGATCTCAAGAACTGAGGTTGCTGAACCGAAGTAAACACGCGGTGCCATTTTTCTGCCATTAACAAGCTGACTACAAACTTCATTATTTCAAAACCATCACCACACAGGATCTTTAAACTTCAGAAATATAACATGTATAACAACAACAAAATCAGGCTTTAGAATGTGAAAGGAACCCAGATATTCTTCTTTACACTGTATATCTGTGGGACAAAACTAAAAACAAATATGAACAACTTACTAAGTAAACTGTCTAACATCGGTATGTCCAAGTCTGTGGGTTTTTGCTTCTGCTGGGCTACCAACTGGCAAAACTCCTGCGCAGCTCGAACAATATCTGCTTTTCCATCTTCTGGGGACAGGACCTTCACCGCTGATTGGCAATTTAAAACTGGAGGAAAACACAAACAAGACATTAAAAAACATCGTCCAGATACATTTCAAAATCAGTTTCAAGATACGTAAGTTCAGGCCAAAATAAAGGTATCATTCTTACTGTACAGTGGAATAATTTAAGCCCTTCAATTTCCATATCAAAACACACTTGAGCTACTTTCCTCCGAAAGAACCCACACATCACATTTGTGTAGATATTTATATCCCGCCTTCTTTTTAAAGTACTCAGAATGACCTGTATCTGTGAATAAATCCTCCAGCAAACAGCAATTTTACATATAGGGTATATTAAAATTTCTGTAAGTCTAAAACAGCATCTACAGTCATAGTACAGTTAGTATAACACAAGATTGAAGATTAAACACATATAAAAAAGATTAAAGACAAAAAATGTAGTTTAATGTAACATGCAATCTATAGCACATACCACCTTATCAAATTTATGATTCTATCAAAGCTATCATTTTACAACTGCTAGGATTCTAGGTGACAGCAATGCCAATTCTGCTCTGTAGAGGTTCCTGCCAACCCCATATAAAAACCATTTCAATATTCCGGATCTAGCAATGAGTCTGTTCTTTAGATTCTCTTTTTTAAAAAAAATATTTTATTTATTTTTTCAGAGAGAGGGGAAAGGAAGGAGAGAGGGAGAGAAATATCAGTGTGTGGTTGCCTCTCATGTGTCCCCCACTGGGAACTGGCCTGCAACCCAGGCATGTGCCCTGACTGGGAATTGAACTGTGATCCTTTGCTTCACAGGCCCACGCTCAATCCGCTGAGCTACACCAGCCAGGGCTGAATTGTCTTTTGAACTATTATAAAATCTGTCTGGTTTCTGGTGGCTTATGAGTTAAATGAAATCTTTAACATGTGTGCATTTTTAATATCTACGAAAGTCACTATTTATTTTTTCTTTTTATTGATTCAAGAGAGAAAGAGAAGGAGAGAAACACTGAATGTGAGAGAGGAACACTGACCAGTTCCTCTTGCACACTCCCTAACTGGGACCAAACTCAAAATCCAGGCAATGGGTGCTGACCGGGGATCAAACCAGCCACATGTCGGTTTGCAGGACAACGCCCGACAAACTGAGACGTACTGGCCAGGGCAAAAGTCATGATTTTATCTTTTCCTGAAAATTATTAACAAAATAAAGAAAGGAAAGTCTAAATCTGATGTTTAAAGATGGTGACAACAAAAACAGGGCAAAATGAGTAAATAAACGAGTGGCAGAATTTACGTTAGACCACGAAACGCAACTGCCTACATTACTCAATCTGACATTAAACTTACCTTGATCATCTTTGTCATTACTATTTGCAAACTCTGTTGAGTATTTCGAACAATCTAAGCCCAGAAGTTCCTGCTGTTGTTTTAAAATTTCATCCATCAACCTGGAGTTATTTCTTTTGAAAATACCTTAAACAACAACAACAAACAATTAAATACCAACAAGAGTAACTTATCCTCTTTAATAATTAGTGTGTTTGCTATTAAAAAAATGCTGGATCCAGAACTGAACATACTCCAAATGAAGTAGTGATGACTAATTCTAAACTAGAATCTGAAATGAAATTATAACAAAACTTTGTTAACACAAGAGCTTGACTTTAGGCTAAAGTCAAAAACAAAAACAAAAACAAAACGGGGGTAAATACTTACTGTCAATATATATATGATAGACATTTAGACCTAGAAAGAAATTTTAAGAGATCATTTATTCAACAACTTTATTTACAGGTTAAGAAACTGAGACCCAATGTCCTTAGGGATCTGGTCCAACGATTTATAAATGGCCACGATGGTCTAGAAACCATACTGACAAAATTTAGTGAATTCAACCAAATATGGAAATATACATTATAAAATTGTTTTTGATCCTCCAACCACACACAGAAGAGTTAAAACTTGAACTATCATGTCATCAAGAAGGATGAGGGAACTTATGTGATATATATTTAATATCGAAATATAAAGACCTCTAACTAAAAACAAATAGCAATATTGTGGCTATTTTCAGTGAAGCCAACTCTCTAGTGTCCATTGCCTTGTTGGCCTTTGCCAAGTGTTATTTTTTCAGTCACATGATTTGAAAACAATTCAAAGATTAACTGGGAGAGAGAACATAGTAGATATGTAAAAAATAGCACAGAAGCTGCTGAATATGCTGTATATAAATGTCAACTTGGTAGTAAATGTGTAACAGCAGCTCAAAGATAAAAGTCTTCTTTGGTAGGGGAAAGGCTCTGTAAAATGAACAAGACTTGAGAGAAGAAAACAGAAAGGACATTTAGATGGAGAAAATGCTTAAGAAAAAACATGGAATGCTCAGAAGACAGACAAATGCTGCTGGCACAAAGAATCTGAGAAAAGGGACAAGGGGACAGGTAATCAACCATTTCTGAACAATGTGGAATGTGTGGAAATTTATGTCTTCTGGAAAATGAACCTGGTAACAGTGCAGTGCAGGCCGGTCTGCAGACTACGGCGGTAGTCCATACACAAGTTGATGGAGCAATGGAAAAGGATTCATGACCAAGGAAAAATTGACAGGAAGAAGAGCATGCTTTACTCAGAGGTGAACACAGAAAATTCCATGACTTTAATCCTTGGTAACAGAAGATGTGAACATATTTTTTTCTTTTTTTTTTAAGTAGGGAAATTCTACAGAGAACTGGTTTGGAGACAAAGATAAGTTTAGTTTTACACAGGTCATTACAGAACATTTAGGTGAGGATTTATCATAAAAGTGATTCAGAGAAACGAGAAGAGGATGCCCAAAAGAGGTCGTCATACAAATACCACATGGGTAGATCTTACCTGTTTTGTTTTCTAGGGCTCACACAGCGCCTGGTACAGAACACTCAACAAATACCATCCACTGAAAGAACAGGACAGAGACTGGCCGGGGTTGGGAAAGCCTCTTTAGGGTTAAGTGACTTTTCAGCTGGCCCCTAAAGAATTAGAAGAATTTTCTAGGTGTGGGGCTGGGAAGGTGACATAAGAAAAAGATGGAGGAAGGAGATGTAGATAAGAAGGTGACATCTGTGTGTCATTCTCCGTAAGGTGAGCACCATACACACAAGAAATGATAAATAAAATGCCCAATGGTACAGAAATATACATGGAGAAGAGCAGAGGGCTAAGGAAGTGGTTCCTTATAGAAACTGGCAGTCCTGAGACTCTAGGCTGGGAAAGACGAAGGAGAACATTGTGTAACACCCGTGTCCAGAGCGAGATTCCACCTCCACCACAGGCCGCGCGTCAGCCCTCTTTCCGTCCACGTGCTCCTCCTTCTCTGATCCTACGTCCTCAAAGGATTTTAAAACCAGTCTGGACCAGGACAGGGTGAGTGAAGTGAAAATTTAAGAGGGTGCCAAAAACTCAGTTATGAACACAAGTAATAACAACACATTATCTTTAAAAACTTAAAATTAATGCAAAACATCCATGATGAACAAAACCTTAACATTTCCAGTAAAAATAGGATCAGCATTTGGGTTCTTTCATTTCCAGTTCATTCAGACATCTAATCCTACCAAAAAGTCCTATAAACACCTGAAAATGAACATATCTAAAACACGGCAGCCTACCTTTTAAAGACAGCTCTCAAGCACTTGTATTACATCGAGTTTAAATAATGGGTGGAGTAGGGTGGAATGTGAAACATGTATTCAGGGACAAGGTCGGGAAGAGAATATGCAACGTAAGAGTAAATGATGGGACGGTAGGTGATTTAATATGCAGAACCCATTTGCTCCTCCACAGTAATGCTTCCTGTACCCATTTCCCTCGGTCCACTGTCCCTGCTGTTCCTTACAAGCAAAGGTCTTCCTTATATTACAACCACCGTCTAATGTGTCTTTCCTGCCTCTTCTCCTTTATCACTAGACTGACTCCAAGATTAATCTTCCCTGGAGACATCTTCCATCCTGGCACATTCCAACTTGAATATCTTTGACGGCTCCCTACATATGAAGAACTGAAGAACAAGCTGCTCAGAGCAGTGTTAACATTCCAGCCTATGCTTCCATGCTTGGCGGGTGGAAACAATTTATATTTATGAAATAAAGGGTCTTTCTATTTCTCTACAGTGCCATATTGCCAGGAAATTAGATTGCCTTATACTCCTTCAAAAACACAGGGAGAGATGCCAACCTCCACTTTATTATGTTACCTGCACAGCTGCAGGTAACATTCTCCTAGTTCTTACAGGCCGGCTGAAACCTCACGTATCCTCAACCCCAGCCAGATGTGCCCCGGTCCTCCTGATAGACTTTCACACCTCCAAATACACACATTCTGTTCAGACTCTTTAACAGACCAATATTCTTCTTTTTATTATAGTTATAACTGAGCCCTGCCCTACGAAACTGTACTTAGTTGTGAACTGGTATCTTACTCATTTCTTTTCCCCTAGGGCACCTTCCACATAGCAGGAGTTCAGTGTATATTTAATAAACTGAATTATCTGTACACAAAATGTCACCTAAAAACAACAAAACCCAAATGAACATGTCACTGAATGGAATTTTTAAAGTTTCCAGGAACCTCTCACAGTAAAAGCAAACACTTCCTTATTGCACACAGGCAGAAATTCTGTTAAATAAGATTACATAGAGACGTAGTTACAAAGACTTTCATAAAGTTATTTTAAACAGAACCTTTGTCCTAGCTGATTTGGATAAAGAACTGCAATTGTTAAAAAGTACAGTTTCTGAGATATGCTAAATGCACAGATGAGACAGCCATCAGCAAGACTCCGGTTGCCTCACAGCCTGACCCCCATTCAGAAATCTGATTGTACTCCTGGTACTGATCTCAGGTACACATGGAGGAGATTATCAGCTTACAATGTCCTTCACAATCAAGTCTACAGGCTCACAGGCTCCCTTCCCGTGATCCACAAGAAGGGCAACAAGATATAAGCATGCCTCTGATTACGGTAGGCCATTCCTCCAGCAATATCCTAGTTCATGTGGAGATTCTTTTTCTCCTACCAAAATCTATCTTGTCTGCCTTCATAGAATCTAAAATAAAGCCAAAGTGGTATAATAAAAGTAAAGAAACTATCGCAAAGTCATTTTATGTGAAAGGAGATTGAGACTATATTCATTCAGGAATAACAGATCTAAGAGATAAACATTTGCAAATACTCAAATTTCTGAAAAAACTGTATTTTACAGAATTACAGTTGTAATAAGAGGCAAAAAGTATTTCATGCCATTCTTTTACAGACGAGGAACTAAGACCCTGAAAGGTCAAGCAACTGTCCTTGGTCAGAAGTCTAATAATTTGGCATGAAATCCAGGCCTCCAAGTTTCTAATTATTCAGTTCAGTAACTATTCCTGACACTAATAAGGAATGATAAATCCACTTGACTATTAAATTTCAAATTCTTCTCTCAAAAAAGTTAAACTCCACTGACTTTTTTACAAATGAACATTATCTTTGGAAAAAACCTAGGACTAGAATTTATTGAAATTCTTTAAGAATGACTTGAAATATAAAATAAGTTTTTGCAATAATAATTTAAAGAATTTGACATTGTTTTCTTGTTCTAAAAGTGTATCTTATATGCTCTCTCTCAATTTTCCAAGTATAAACTGCATAAAATATATGTATGTGTGTATATATGTGTGTATATATATACATAAGACATATGGAAGAGCCCCAAAATTTTACAATTTCCTTGAAAGAATAAAACATTAGGCTAGGAAAGCTGGACCTCAGAAAGACTATAATGTTTTTGGGTTTTCTTAATAAACATTAACTATATACTTTGAAGGTCAAATCTACTTCTTTTTATATCCTAAGAAATACATGTTTTACATTCGAATGCTAAAAACTATGTAAGATACTCAAAGCTTAGACAATAAAGAACTGTCCCCTACCCGTCTACCCACCTTGCCATGATAATGCAACCACTTCCAGTTTTTAGTATTTCCTAGCCTTCATCCACATGCGTGTGTAACCCTGGATGGAACATGTGAACATGAAATTCTGTATCCTGCTTTCACCTGTATGACATGTATCCTTCGTTGAGGCTAATCTCATGATTATTTAAATAATTACACTGTTTAACAAAAAAGGTCTGCTGATTTTGTTCAGCTCTTAAAATACAAAAATCAACACTTCCCCAACTAAAATCATTGCCATGATAGGTACTGCAAACACCCTTAGCATTTGGGTTTTCACCATATTCAAGGACAAAACATGCCAGTATTACTGCTGAACATAGAAATTGAGTGCAAAGAGGGGAATTATCAGAGACATACGCAAAGGTCTGACTCTGAAGAGGTCTGAGGGCCTTGGTCACGAGCTCAGAAATATTCTAAGTACAATAAAGACCTGTCAGAAATTTTATTCACAGTTTGAATTATCAAAAAGATCACTTTGCTGGTGGGGGAAGAATGGA